CTCCACCAGCACATGGATGGAGCAGCTTCCAGGGAATGGCAATGCCAAGGCACTGGCCACAGAGGGGGAAATAAGGCTCCCGAAAGGCCTTTCGGTTGTCCTGGGTGCTCTGCCAGCCTGTGGCCAGGGCAGGAGTTCTCAGGCTCGCCAAGACTTTTCCATCCCACAGCCTGTCTTCCAGGAGTTTATTGTAAATTGGGCTCTGGAACGGGCAGCCAGTGTGAAATTTGGCATGTACACTGCTGGCTGCAACGCATCATTAAAAAGGCATTTTAAATGTGTTAATTCCTCCTTTTTCAATTAATTGCTTTTAAAGCTACATTAATGTGCATCAAAGCAAAATACCCTTTGCCCTAATTTCTGCTTTGCCTTACATATTTCCTGGCCTTGGCGCTGTCTTTTCCATGACTCCCCCCTTCCCTTTTCTTATTCCATTTTTTAGTCCGCAGCACGACAAAAACACTCATGCAGAAAGGGAAGAAATTAAAACCCTTCAACAATGTAAAGCAGAGTCCAAGTCCTAACGACACACGGATTCTTAATAGCTTTTTTCCATCAATAGTTGTTAATTATTTTACAAAAGAGGGAAGTGGCATTGTCCCTTGTGCAGATGGGGAAATCTGAGATACAGAAAGGGGAAGAGACTCACCCGGTGACCAGGGGCCTGCCAGGGCAGATGGCAGCAGGGTTCAGGTTTCCTAAGCCTCCACCCAGCCCCGTACCCATGGGACTACATGGCTCCTGTGAGCATATACATCCTGGAGCAATAGCCTACACGCAAGTGCAGCCAGCCAGCCCTTGCAAGGGGACTAAATGCAGATCACTGACTCACATCCTATAGGAAGGAGCAGCAAACCATGTACGTGGTGGAAAAGCGCTCTCAGAAATGGGAAGAACAACAGAAGTGTAATGGGAATAAGAGATGGAAGGGGAGAGGCAGGATGAGCTGAGGGAAAAGCAGGCGCTGCTTGGCCAGACGCACCACGCTCACCATCCCTATGGGGCAGGATCGCACCCAGCACCAGCTGCACACGTGTGCACAGAGACAGGGATCGTGCAGATCCATTACTGGCCTGCTCTGGAGCCGTCTGGTTTGCTCCTGTCTGCTGTTACGTGACGGAGATCCGTGACTTTATCGGAAAGAAAGCAGGAGCCACCGAGGGTCCTGGGAACCCGCTCCCGCATCTCTGCCAAGAGCAAGTCTGCATCCCTGCACCAATTCCAGCAAGCCTCACATCAGGCTTGCAGTGATTGAAAAAGCAGTCCTGCTTTAGCCTTGCCTGGTTATTCTCAGCCAGCTCAAGGGAGCACCTTCTCTGAGGCATCGTCAGCCCATAGAGGGCACAGGGAGATTTAATTCCTCCCCCAGCAGATTGAACTCACCCAATCCCTCTCTGACCATGTCCAGCAGCAGGAGCAGGACTACAGCCCTGCAGCAATGTGACTGCAAGGAAAAAGATGCTGAAGTGGGAGAAAGCAGGAAAGAAAACAACCTTCTCCTCCCCAGCCAGGAAAGAAACACCAGTATTTGAGGATATGAGCAATGTGAGGTTTGAAAGAAAAGGTAATATCTTTTACTACACCAACTGAGATTTAGCTGTAAAGCTGCTGCTTTTGAAAGGCACGCTGCCCAAAAGCACGTCTGTTTTCTCCAGCTATAATGCGCTGATCTAATAGAAGACATTACCTTCTCCTTGCAAACTAAGCCTCACTTGGAGCGAGGCTGCAGTGATCTTGAAAACGGAAAAGGGGCCCAGCTCACCCTGTGGCTGGGAGAGGTAGAGGAGGAATAGGAGACCTAAGAGATGTGCTTCTCCTTGGGGAAAAAACTCCGGAACCTGTTATCAGCATTTGCCACATCAATTGCTTCATCTGTGTTCAGAGCACAGATTATGTATCGCCCAAAACAAAGGCCTTGGAAATGCGCAGGAATGGTGTTAACTTCTCTGCCCAAGGCTGAAGGTGGGTAAATCCAATGTAACTGGTAGTTAGCAGGGACACGCTAAACTCACACCCCACCACAGACCTGATTCTCCAGAGCACCTCAGCTCCAACACTGCTCCGAACCCAGCAGAGACCAACAGGTTTCCAGTGCCCAAGAACAACCACCACTGCTGCTGCATTAGTTACATCCCCTGGAACAGAGTGGCATCCAGAGCGGATAACCAAACCCTACCCTTTCTATTGAGGGTTTTGTGGAGCTCTTTACTGTGCAAATATCAGCCCAGCCTTCAAAATCCCCATGAAAACCAGTCCTAGTGCTATTTCTCTGATGAGTTAATTCAGCTCCTCCCCACACAGTGACTGCAACGATGTGGAATGGGGTAAGGGGTAAGTGAACAACTCCTTGGATACTCTGCCTAAACAGCCACCAGTGTGTTTAGTAATACTGGGTTCACATGGTGCATCTCACCTGGTGTGCAAGGCTGCCCTAGATAAGGTATTGAACGACTCTGCCACGCACTGAGTCTGCAGCACAGATGGAACAGCAAATTCCTCTCTCAGCTCTGGTCACCAGGACACGTGTCCTGCTGCCATGTGCGTGCCACCACATACGTGCCACCACTCTGGTCCATGCAGATCTCTGGCTCTGCACTCACCTAGAGCTTGCAGAATAACCCTGAGAACGGAGGCTATGCTGAACAAGCAGGAAAACCAGTGCTGCCTGAAGTGGAGCGTGGGCCGGTCTCCGCAGGGATGGAGCAGAGTGGGAATTAGCTGCCAGGATGGGCTGCATCGTGACGTGTTGTTGCAGGAGGTCACGTCAGGCAGAGGAGCTGATGGCAGTGCTGGAGCTCAGCACTCGGAAGGTTATCAGCTGTTCTACGTAGTGATTTAGACCATCAGAGCCCAGTGCCAAACCAAATGGTTGCTGGCTTAGCATGGATGAAAGGAGCAGTTCTATATGTATAAATAGCCCAGATATACAAGCGTACAGTCCTTGTGGCCAAAGACAAGTCTCAGGTCTTTGCATTTCCTCTGGATTAGTGCACCCAGAAGAGTTCCTCAAGCACACTGGGGCTCAGGGCAATGCACAGATCAGCTGCAGAAGCTTTACCCCAACCTTCGCATCCACAAGCAGTTTATAAACTAGTCTGAAGATGACTGCTCAGGAATAAAGCCATAAGACTGCTATTAATCCAATTTCCCAAGCTGTAAAGGCAGATACACCTTCAGAATGGTGGTCCCACACCCCAGACTTGCCTTCTGCTCCCAACCACTTGAACAGCACCAAGATCGTCCCTTGCAGTGATTCGCCACCAAACCCCCTCTGCAAACAGCCCCTGCTAGTTTTGAGCTCCACGTAGTCTCTCCTCAGCCAGGGACACACTTTTCTTCCTTCCAGACTCTGAAATTACAAATGGCTCCACTAAAAGCATAATCTTGTCTCGCTGAATTGTATCTCACAGCTTCCCCTCTCCCTCCCTTTCATTAACAAATGTTTTAAGCCCCATAAAACACATGTAATTCTTGGAAAGGTGTCACAGATCAAGAAGCAAATGCAACCCCTAAAACTCACCAACTAATGCCTCAAGAGCAGTTTTGCCTATTAGAAACAAACAGCTGAGACAATATGTGGTTTTCTGCTGAGAGGCAGAACAGAACTGCTGATGGAAATAATGTGCAGGCAGAAAGGCTGTCCTGGTTTCCTCACATCTTTGGGGAGGGATATTTTTGGTTTCGTGACCAACAGTTAATTTTCCCCATCAGCCACCCAACCCAGTATCCCCCAAGTATACTGTGTGGCTCAGAGCCATCACAACACATCCTGGTGGCAACACAGAGCGGACTCCTGGCTAATCATAGCATCACCTCATTGAGATGCATCTCGCAGGGAGCAGCAAAGATGGGACACAGAAGGGCCACAGCACCTCGGAGGCATCTTTTCCAAGGTAACACACCATCAAGAGCTAAAGGAGAGCAAGCTGGTGTGTCTGGTGCACTGTCTCAGAGTTCAAACATGGCTCTTAAAGACCTGCTCCATCCCTTGCAGCATCAGCTCACCGTTCCCAATTGGCCATTCCTGCAGCCCTCTCCTCCAGGCCTCTGTTGGCATCCAAACTACCCCAAAGCTGAAAGTCCTTCTCACTCGAAACAGCTCAGAGGGATCTCATGTGAGGCCCGCCAGTACTGTACAGATAAGAGATGTCTGAACATCCCCACTGCACTCCCAAGAAAGAGCTTGCTTGCTCACATGTTATTTCAATCAGCTCCCACAGCAATACAGCAAATCATCCCCATCAGCCTGGGTAAGGATGCAGCTTCCTCTTCATTTCACTGAGGGCTCAGACATCCCAAGCCCAGCCTGCAGCTGCATTAACCCTCACAGCACTGGCGCTCTCCCTGGCAGCACAAACCAGCTGCTCCCAGCATGTTTACCCAGCAAGATTTTCCTGCCAACCAGGAACATGCCCAAGCTGCAGGTAAAAATCAAATACAATTTACCCCAACAGAGCATTAAAGTAAATCCAAACAGGCACACAAGCAAGGGATTTATTTTTGCAACATTCATTACATGTGCAGAGGGGACAATTGTAAGTAAACAATTTGCTTTGTTAAATGAGACAAGGGAGGCTTTCCTGGGGAAGATTGTATTAAAGCACCACCAGCAACTGATTCAAACCCTTCAAACACAAATATTAAATAAAGAGATGTGATGAATGAGAAAGGTCAAGTAAAAATCAAATCAGGGCACGGTATCCAGAAGAGCCAGACATGATCATCCCTAATTCAGCCTACAGGAGCTTCCAAATTGTTCTGGTGCATCTAATAGCCCAGTAACCTGTCATAGCCATGGGATTGCATTATGGGGGGAGCTGACAGGCTTCTGTTTCTCCAGAGGGCTCACCCCATCTCAGTGTCTATCATCCAACACCACCAAGCACTGCTTGATGCATCAGGAACCTCCATCTACACCGATTTCAGCAGCAGCTCACAGCCTCAAAGGTTGCTCTACACAAGCCGAGGGGATCCCAAAACACAGACCCCACGGCCCTTACCTTTGAGAGATCCTCTGTGCCTCCCTGCTGGCTCTGGTTCAGGAGAGGCGAGTGCCGCACCAGGGGGTCCTGCAGCAGATCCAGACGCGGCCTCTTGCTTTCAATGAACTCCAAGTCCGACGGCTTGGTCAGGTCAGAGAGATAGGAATGAGCCTCGGTTCTCAGGTGCAACTCCTGAGATCTGGGGACAAAGAGAAAGAAAGCCTTTAGGAAGCAAACCACCTCTGCTCTGTGACTAGAGACCACTCAAGGAGGACGGAGGGCTCAAGGAAGGATGCATGAGCGGAGGCAGATGGCCCTGGATCCAGGATGCACAGCTCCACAGCTCAGCTGCTGGGCACAGTGCAACTCCTGGAGCACTCACGGGCAGAACGAGGCATCACCCGGGGGAGCAGGACACGGGGTGCAGCATCACCACCATACTCCAAGCACAATAAGCCACCCTGCTGTCCCCCCATGGGTAGCCCTGCTGCCGTCTCCTCTCCTACCACATGCGGTGGGTGGCTGTCCCCACACCAGAACTAAGTGAACAAGGCTGCAGGTTTGAGCCTGCCCTGTCATGCCACATGGGTTGGGCTGGCCAGGAAGAGGCCAAAGCTCAGACAATCCTCAAATTTGGCCCATATCTCCCCCTGTGGCCAGGCAGAACTGCCACGTTTGGTTTAGTGAGCCAACAGTACCTGCACCACTGTTTATATTTAACATCTTCTATAGGAACAGCAAAGATTATATGCTGGGGAAAAAACACACCCTCCTCCATGGCTAGACAGCAGGGATTTATTTTTCCAGGATGGGGGAGGAAAGAAAACAGGCACATGTAGTCACACATCCCTGACACAGACCTGCAGGCTGCAAAGGCACATTATCCACTGATAGCAACTGCACTGACAGGTCACATTGGGCTTAAGTATCTTTCACCGGGTAAGTGTGATGCAGTTGGAAATTGGGTTTGGTTTTCCCTTCTTTTTAAACAAATGTAAAAACTTCTTTTTTCCAGCTCTATTTTTCCCCACAGGATTCTCCTGTGGGAATTGTAAAAGGATCCTACAAAAATACATTAAACCTTTTACTATGCCCAAGGATTGGCTTTGCTGCAGCAGCTCCAAGGGTGTGTTTTTAACACTTCAGGCAGAAGTGTCTCTTAAAAACATAAAAATGAGATGAAACACAGGAGATACAAAGCTTGTGATCAACAAAAAAAGTGGCTTTTTTCCTTTTCCCCTTAAACAAGATTGTTAAAGTTCTCCTGAGGTGCGTGGTGAAGGATCCTCCCCAGTTACCAAACACTGACAAACTAAGCTTTAGAAGCTACTCGAAGGGAAGGATGCATTTTGTCAAGAGCAAGGATGGGAGACAGGGGGTCTTGGGCACTGTTTGGTCCCCACCTATAACTGCAACTGCTGATGTTAATTTTTGCCTAATAAAGTATCCCAGAGAGGATGACAACGGGAAGGACCCGGAGCCCTCTGAAGCCAGCAAGCCCTCCCAGCGGCTGTAACGGCTCTGGACCACATCCAGAGATGGAACCCTGCTGAAGGCCACCTCGAGCAAAGCCCTCTGCAGTGTGGCCAACTCATCCCTGCTCCAGGGAAGCAAGATAAAAAATACACACAAGGGAAAAACCCTCTTACTGAAACAGCAGCAGCAGGCACAGAGCATGTGCTCGCCAGACTCTGCTGCTGTGGGTTTGGCACACGTGGCCGGCGCTCGGATTCAGGGCAGCAGCTTTGGTGCTGACACACAGAAACAGAATCTGGCTCGGCCTCTTCTTCCTCCCTAGCAAAAAAGGGATGGGAGAGCAGGGAGGCTCCGGCACTGCCTTTGCCACTCCAACTCCAACCTCCGAGTGCTCACAGAGCAAAGAGGTCTTGAAGTTGGCACTGATGCACAGCCTGCTTCACCTGCACGCACTTTCACGCTGAATGATCCTCATCTTTTCTCAGCAAGCCCAGAAATACCTCCTGGCACCTCTCAAGTTTCCCACTGGCTTGTCCCGAGCCCTGCCTGCAGCTGCACGCTGGCATTCCGGGCTCTGCTGTAAACCCAGGAACAATGAGCAACTGTTGAGCTGGGCAGGTGCTAAAATACTCCAACACCCAATGCTCTGCTGTGGGGAGGCAATTAAAAATCACATGGATTCATTTTCACTTCTTACCCCCCCCCCCTTGTTTTTAAGGCCATATTACCAAGAAGCTGCTCATTGACACTGGATGTCTCCGAGACCCCTGCAGTTGTCAGGAACCCGACACAACTCTGCAGTCGGGGGAGAAAACATGTATTTTTAAGATAAGAGCAACACTCAGCTTTACAAAGGCAGTTACTTACAGCGAGGCAGGGGCCGTGCCGGGGAAAGCAGCTGCAATGTTATAGGGTGCTATTTTATTTCCATTTCCACATCCATTGGAACAGCTATTAACTTTATCCACTGGAATTTCCAGCCGCTCCCGAGATCGCTTTGCCTGACACAACCCGCTCAGCCTGTCCTGGCTGCAAATACAAGTGCTTGAAGCCTTCACACCTTTCACTCTTTTACATCCACACCTGCAGCAAGCTCTTTACAACAGACTTTTATACAGCGGTGACGCTGCTGTCAGCTCCCTGCCTGAAGAACCTCCCGTTACATCGAGCCTGGGCTTTTGCTGCATTTTCCACATAGTTCCCACCTGGCTGGTTTATTCCAGAGGTTCCTACTTTGCTGAAGGGGAAGAGTGGTTTTAATT